CAGGAATGCTGATAGATGAGTCAGGTACCAGTATGACATACCAGTCTCACTGGTCAGTCTCAGACCTTGGTATATGGTGTGACAGCAAGATTTACCATTGGATAAAGCCTCAGGACTGCAAGAATTTCTATCCATCATCTAATTATTTTTATTCAATCAATACCTCATGTGGTGAATTTGACCTTAGCTAGATGCCAGGTGCCACCAAGCCGCTTTATCACTCCCGTCCTCAGCAGGACAGGGAGAAAATGAGGTGGAAAAAAAACCCCAAAAAAACCTTGTGGGTCAAGACAAAGGCAGTTTAATTTAAAAAAAAAAATTAAAAAAAAAAAAGCAAGGGCCACATGTGGAAACAAGAAAAAGGAAACAAAGATTTTCTTCTCTACTTCCCATCAGCAGGTGAAGTCCAGCCACTTCCTGGGAAGCAGGGCTTCGGTATGTGTAGCGGTTGCTCCGGAAGACAAATGCAAATAATGGACGTCCCCCCTTCCTCCTCCTTTCTCTTAGCTTTTATTGCTGAGCTGACCTCATATGGTATGGAATATCCCTTTGGTCAGTTTGGGTCACCTGTCCTGCCTATGTCCCCTCCCAAGATCTTGCCCACCCCCCAGCCTACTCTTGACGGCAGGGAAATGTTGGAGAGACAGCCTTGATGCTGTGCGAGCACTGCTCAGCAGTAGCCAAAACACTGGTGTGTTATCAACACCTGTCTAGCTACCAATACAAAGCACAGCACTGTGAGGGCTACTGTGGGGAAGATTAAGTCCATCTCAGCCAGACCCAATACACCTCAATACTTCTATTCTTCACTGAAGTCAAAGACATTTTCTTGCTATCCAATTAGTGAAAGGTTAGAAAGAAAGGGATACATTCTTTCTTCATCCAAGGAAGAATCTTAGGGATTTCTTTCCCTGAGAAATTCATTGTTCCATAAGGAAAGGAGAAGGTGCATGGGAAGTAACTGGAAACTAGAACACAAGGATGAAGACCCTTCTTTTGACAATACAGTTTTTCATGAGCATCTAGAGTAATGAACTCGGCACTAGGTTTAATGCCTCTTCCTTTCCAAGTTTGGGAACTTATTTCAGGTTAACTAACAAGCAAGAGCATTAATATATCCATTATCCATACATAATACTTACCATAGATCTACCACATTCCCATGGTAACCCAAACTAAGGGCAATTTTATTCTTTCTTGCATCTCTAGAACAGATTAAAAAGATTGGTTGGAGAAAATGTACCTCATGTAATTCCATCTTGCAATGTACAAATCATATAGAGTCAAACCCAGCAAAAAAGTCTATACATGTTTTCCAACACTCATCTAGGCAACAGACTTTCAACCTTTATGTAATTGTTAATCACTGATTCCAGAAAGCTTGAGTGATGCTTCAAGTGTAACATTATTTGTAATTGCTCTATGCATATTCATGAAACTGCATGAAGACACATTTGACATAACAAATGATATGAAGCATTGGTAGTGGCTTGCAGTCAGCATTGGTAGTCACTAATAATGACTGCTGCTGTTTGGAAGGATGAATTCACATTCAAAAGCAGACCTGGAATAAGAATAGGTGTCCTTCAACCCCTTCTATATGCACATTAAAATGGCACAATGCAGAAAGATGTGAAGTGAGGATTAGGAAGCACAGATAAACTCACTAAATTATGCTACAAGTCATACCTAAGGCGAGCAATGCAATGGTCCAGGTTGTTAGAGATTTCCATCAGCCATCCCTGCTTGTGACGTTTCAAAAGTGCTGCTTCATCAACCTGAGAGAAATAGCAGAGATATTAAAACTCCTGTTTACCCTATCCAGTCACTTTTACCTTTAGTTTTTCACTCAGTCTGCAAGAAAGAGTGGCAAATAGGTAAAGAGAATAGCCCTGCCTTGATCTTAAGAATATGGAATGATTGTTCAAATACTTATTTTTCACCCCTGTTTTTTGGTTTTTTTTTTTTTTACACTTTCTGTTTTCTTTTACTTCAGGGTCTAAGCAAGAAAAAACCCCCCTCTGATACATCACTTCCCAAAATATTTTACAAGCCAAAAATTATCATTAAAATTGTATAAGAGGTAATATTTTTCTGACAATTTTAATTATTCTTATTGCTTCTTTTCATTATTATATTGAAAAAAATGAAAGCCAAAATGTTTCCAATTTACTTTTCAAATCTGGCTATTTTCTGTGAAAATAAAATTTCTATTTAATTAAGTGTCGTGGTTTAACCCCAGCCAGCAACTAAGCACCACGCGGCCACTCACTCACTCCCCCTGCCCCAGTGAGAAACACTCCTGGGTTGAGATAAGAACAGTTTCATAATTGAAATAAAATAATAATAAAATGGTGAAAAGGAAAACAACAAAAAGAGGAACAAAACCCAGGAAAACAAGTGATGCAACCGCTCACCATCTGCCAACTGATGCCCAGCCAGTCCCCGAGCAGCAATCGCTGCCCCCCGGCCAACTCCCCCCAGTTTATATACTGAGCATGACATCATATGGTATGGAATAGCCCTTTGGTCAGTTTGGATCAACTATTCTGGCTGTGCCCCCTCCCAGCTTCTTGTGCACCTGGCAGAGCATGGGAAGCTGAGAAGTCCTTGACTAGCATAAGCAGTACTCAGCAACAACTAAAAACATCAGTGTGTTATCAACATTCTTCTCCTACTAAATCCAAAACACAGCACTATGCCTGCTACTAGGAAGAAAATTAACTCTGTCCCAGCCGAAACCATGACATTAAGGAAATATTTTCTTTGATCAGCTCAGAGATAGACATTTCTGCAAGACTGCCCAGGATGAAGCAATGGTTTGCTGAATAAAATTGACCCTCACTTTTGTTCTTTGACTGCTGGTTGAAAATCTCAATGAAATATGGAAAAGAAAAGAGGAAAGCATTTTCTTGTCCCAGCTGGATAGTGCTTCTGAAAGATGGAGATCAAAACAAGCTACATCTTTAATTCCCTCTTGTTTGAACTTTGAAGCTCCAGACAAACTCAATCCCAAATCTGTACTCCCTTCTGGGCTCAGCTTCTGTGTGTGTCAGTGTGTATAAGCATAAGAGACAGCTGGATAAAAATATAAATGGATAGACAAACTGTGGAGGCTTTGGCACAGATTCCATATTAATGGTTCAATGTACAAACTTGCACATCATTAAGACTTTTATAACAAGCTATCAGTGGCATAAAGCAAGTGGCAAAATTAATTCAAGCTAATTTTCTGTGGTAGCAACAGATTTAAACACCCACAGTGTGTGTGCACATAAAAAGAGATAACCTGAGTATCCCCTGTATTTCATTAAAGCATTTTTACTTCTCTATAACCCACTCCCATCATTTTCATTCTATTATTTCTCATTAACGAAGTATTTATACATAAATTAAATAAGTTCCATATTCAGGAGTCACTTGAACACCAGGAAACCTTTTCTTTCCTAATTATTCTTAGCATGAGAAACCCTCCATCATTTCCCACATCAATAATAAAGATTATCCTTCCAAAACCCCAGATTATGATAATATCAATGTCATTGCCAATGGAATTATTCAATAAAGTCAGGTGTCATGGGGGACAGCTTCTTTGGGAGTTATAAATCAGCACAGGAGGAAAGATATTAAGTGGTCCATATGAATTAGAGGGATTGAGTTCATTTAAAGCTCAGCATAACACAGATCAGATCTATTTAAATCTGTTACCACATCCTACATATTTTACTTCAGACCTCTCTGGCAGTCTTAGTCTTTCACAGACTTGCTAGCACACTCAAGAAAACTAGCTTCCTTTGAACCATGCGTTCAAAACTATGCTCATTTTTTGATCAGCATCTCACTAATTTAAAAAATGGCACAAACATGATGAGCTAATGTCACCTCCAGTGTAACCTTAGTGCAGCTCAGAGGAGATAGTCTGGCCCTCCACACAATTATTTCATAAAATTACAATCTGCTTCATGTCAAACAGAAGAGGTAAAAGACTTGCACCATTAATCCCTTCTGTCTGAGCTTCGGAAGCCCTGCCTGACAAAGTGACATCTCTTACACAATTCATCAATGTCATTTGCATAAATAGTTCCTTAAATAAATAATATGTACATATATATAGCTATCCACATGTGCTCCCTGAGACTCATTTCCGACAAGGATCATCTCACAGGAGATAAAAAACAGGCAATATTCAGTCTCCTGAACAAAATCATCTGCAGCCATAGAGATGAAAAGGACAAAGGACTGCTGTGAACAGCTTTCACTGGAATCTTTCCTTTGTATTCTAGCATTTGAAAGATGATGATGACAGAGTAGAAGTCTGAATAAAGATAATTTATTCAATAATAATTTATTCAATAATAAATTGAATAAATTTATTTCATCTGCAGGAGTACCTGATAAGATCTCAAGTACATACACAACTCATGTGCTAACAAAAACACTTTTGTACCATCATTGTAAAACAGATGAAACCCTAACCTTCCATGAATAAGACCCGAGCTAGCCAGAGCAAGTCAGGTTTACGGCATGCCACGTGGGCAGTCTGACCTATTATGTTTTGAAGTTCCATTATAATTACCATGGGTCAGATCGCAATATTCTTACCCTTTTCATTGCAGCAAGTGACATGCCTAAAGCAGAGGTCTGCCAGCTAATTGCCTCTATAAACAACTTTGGCTGAGAAGGCTAAACTCCCACTGGAGTTTGGTTCTCAAAAATCTTTCTTCCTCTGGAGCAGTAACAAGGGCTTATCACCTACAGAGAGTCAAAAGAGCTCAATGCATTTTGGTCAGTCCTATATCTGCTCCACCAAGAATGTTTCCCCAGTGTACTGAATTCAAAGGTAGTCATGAGGAAAGAAATGCATGGAAGTATTTATTGTTTCTCAATAGTCAATATCATTAAAGATATTCACTACCATTTTCACAGAATTGCAGAGCAACATTTTCTGCTTGAAAAACTGTTGCAAGTGTTTTTGTAGTCCATCCTTCCATCTGATGTGTTAGAACAGAACCCTATGATAAGCATAATAGCTGAAAAATGCAGGTATTAGGAGGAAATGTTACGTTTTTATATGAAAATGTATTTCACTCAAAACTCACAGGCTTATATATATATATACTTACCAAGATTATGATGCTGGTGTTCTGCATTATATATGCTACTTAAGGATATCTGTGGATCCAGTGGATCCTATCATACACTATTCTGATTGCTGGGACATTAGCAGTCTTTGAATCACAGATCATTATTAGATCCTCTTTGTTTATAGGAGGAAATAGCTGGGCTATTTTAACATACTTGGAACAGAGAAACATTACATCAGGATGAAAGACTGTCTACAAAGAATATATGCTGTGGGTGAGCTTCAGGGAACAGTGAAAATGGTACTACAGATCTCCTTATCAGCATTTTCCCCTTAGCAGAACTTACCTTCATTGTCTACAAACTGGGATTCTTATAAGTGGTTGTAATTAGCCTCACCATCTTCATTCTGAAGCCAACTTTAAAATTCCCAGGTTTACAAAATGCCATTGACTTCAAAGAATCACAACACCAAGCAACTTCATTAGTCTCAACCTTGATAAGTGGATCATACCAACATTTTTAACGGGTACTTTCCATTGCACCTGATAAGGGTGCCAGAGGCATTAAAGATTAATTGTAATGTAACTAACATCTTTTTAACATAGGCTTTTTTTGCATAAGAGGGTGCAGTTACCATGGGAATTGCCTGTGGAAGTTACACCCTTTCACACCTGAAATAAGGGTAGCTCAAGCACTGAGAATGGCTCATCTGACAGCATCATTCTGCATTATTTGTGAAGCGACCGTAAGAAGTTACAGTCCATATCCTTACAGTCTGATCCAGTGACTGAACAGATAGAGTGTGCAATAGGGGTGAAAAATACTCAGCAATGAAAAGAACAGACAGATCTTAGAAAAGAGTATCTTTTCTGAGTTTGGCTTGTCAGGGTCACTTGAGGAACATGGCTGATCAGGAGAATGAGGGAGACCAGGAGATTCAGCACATGAAGGAGAGATGACAAAATGAAAGCAGCGTTGCTCTCACCTCTGCAATGATCCCCACACACCCAGCAATGACTGCAGCCTTTGCTTGAGCCCCGCTCATCCCTCCAAGACCAGAAGTAACAAACACCTTTCCAGACAGGTCTTCTGCCTTCAAGTAGCGACGGCCTGCATTGAGCACTGTGAGCTGCACAAAACACAATATAGCAATTATCAGGAGCTATTTTTCCTAGAGACCCTGAAAATTAAAGATCTTCTGTCCCTTTTTGCAAACAGAGTTTGAAACTTAGGAGTCATTGGGACCATGAAACTGTTTTAATCTTTAAGAAGGAAACATGTTACAAAGTGATGTTATGAAACCATCTGTCCTTATTATGTTTATTTCTCTCACCATGAAATAGAATAATCAGTGGTTCCCAACATGCTGCTCTTGGGGTATAGAGACTTATTCAGGATGGCTGCAAAAGACAGCTAAGGAAAACAGCTAAGAAAACAAGCTAAGAATGTGTTTTTATCTGACACACTTGGTCAATTCATACTTCACTTATTGTAGCTAGATATGAGCTCAGATCGAGACCCTGACTGCAGATTCCTTCACGTCTGTGTTCTGCATAAGATGCAATGGACTATCTGAGTGGAAGAACACTCATTTTTCAAGGAGCAGGCAATGAGAATTTCTTTGGTATCCAGAACATCCTCTCACAGCAATCCAATCCACACCAACCACTGCAGGAGATACCCTCCTCCAAAAGGTATCGACAAATAGACCTTTCCCCGGTTTCTTACCACAGTCCCATGGACTATTCCCTGAGGCCCAATGTAGCAGTAGCTCCCTGCAGTCATCTGACCATACCTAGCAATAGCAACGAACACAATGATACCACATGTTACTCAGGCTGGAATGAATTCTGTATGTGTCTACATGTGTTTCCAGTATAACAAAAAAAAAAAAAATCCCTGTGCTTCGATTTGTTGTTAAAGATTTGCTATTATCAAATTCACAGCTTACTTGAATTTCTTCATTAGCAATGCACCAACATGTTTTTGCAGGAGCATTTAGCTTGTTAAATTGAGTTCAAAAATGCATGGATCAAAGAACTGAGTGTGAACTTGTCTTGGCATTTAGCATAGTGACTAGGACACAAAGACACTCCTTTTCACTTTGTTGGCATCGTTATGCCATTGGTTTTCAGTGGCACTCACACTTCTAAGTCACATAGTTGCTCTTGAAGTTCTTAGCCCAAAATGGTTGTCCACATTCCTATGAAATTCCCGGAAAGTGGCAATGGATAATCTCTATTCATGCCCTTTAATTTCTTCCAGCTTCCTTATCTGTACATACCCAGCTCTCCAGTGGTTTTAATTTATTCTGTCCATGGTACACAACAAAATAATAATCCTGTGCTCATCAACTAGATCAGCAGTAAAAAAAGTAGGTAAATAATCGTTCAAAAAAAAAAAAGATAACTTTCCACTTCAAAGCTTTCCTTTAGTGTGAAGTAATGTTTCATAACTTGTGTTTTCTGTAGATTGCAAAACAACCACTGCAAAGTGGAACTAGCCAGTGCTATAAGTAGGTTAGCTTATCATATTAAATTATCATATTAGTTATCATATTAAGGCTTCAGGCTGTAATTCAGCCAAGTCCCACAAATAAACCTAGCAGACCTCAATTACATCCTTATATAGGTGGCTGAACATAACTCAAACTTCTAAGTAATTCCACTTAAATGTGCATTAATGCTTTGCAGCACCAGGACTTTATGGAGCACAGTTGAAATCCACCTGCATTAGAAATTTTAACCAGCTACTGTTTGATGTCTATATTACATTTTAGTTAAGTATTTGATATATTTTAATAGTGAGGTATCTTCTTACATTGTTACTCCCAAAGCAAACATCTTCTCATATTCATCTCTGGTGGAATAGTTGGGAATAACCTAGGAAAACAATCAAAAGAAAACCCACATAAGCAAATTAGAGATTTAAGCAGATCTTTTTAACAGCCTACATTTATCTAACTATGTTCACACATATAGAAAAACAGTGAAGAACAGGAGGAGTAATTCAGGTGTTTTATTCCATGCATTCTAGTATTAGAAAAAAAGATGTCTGGTCTTTCTGGTAGTGTGACTGTCATGCAAGTTTTAAGGGAAGCAATTCTCTATCCACAAAACTAGCCTGCAGGCAGATAGATATTGAATGGCTCAAAAGATTGGCAATGAACCAGTATGTTCACTTGTCCAGCTTGCCTTCCAAGCAAAGCAGTCCAGATATCGGAGCATCTAATTAATAATCATCTGTTTGCCTATTAAGGGCTTTTAAATCTTCCAAACCGAGCCTAGCTGAACTGTTTTGGTCAAGAACATGTGCAGCTCACGCTCAGTCAGAACAGAAGTCATCTAATAAGGAGAGGACTGTTGCCTCCATCACTGCAGATCAGCACACTTGAGGTGAGAGCGACTGTACTGGAATAACTGCTGCAGAATTTGGACCCCAGATTCTCCTGTGTGCTGTTGTAAGTTCAGGTAGTATAAATAATATTTTAATTCAGCAAACACTTGAAAACTAAACAGAAGAGGATGAAAAAGACAAAACAATATGCTAATACCTACCATGCCATTAGTAATGATTAATCGAGGAGCATACTGATGGAAAGAGTCCCAGAGGATGTCCACTGTACATTACTAGTGTTTGCTCTTCAGTCATCTCTGACAAATAGTGCATTACCAACCAAAACTGAAAGGAAACGGAAGGACAGTGAGGCAATCTGTTTGCATCTTACATTTGTTTCTTTGTGAAGCTGCTAAATTTTGAATATGAAGGCATCTACAGAGATAATGAGGTATATTCACAGATGGAATAACAGCCAGAGCTCTCAACACATTCTTGCTTTTAATAAAGTCCATTAA